ATATATATATATATATATATATATATATATATGGTAGATTATGAAAATTGAATTAAATCTAGTATGAAATAAATGTCCAGAGGAAATTTGCCCCATTTTGTCACGAATGTCAAATTTTCTCATAGCTGTATTTCGCGGTTACGTGTTCAATTGTTATTTTGTACACGTTAATTATTTAAAATGTTTTGAATCCAGAGTCGGAACATGTGTGGTGACATTTGTGATGTTCGTTCTGGCAGATATTCGCCTTGTGTCATGCTCTCAACGAAATTCTCGATGGCATGGCGAATAAGGGTTTACCATTTCCTGTCTAATTCTTCAGTACAACTGCATCACTATTTTTGACCTTTTCGAAACACATGAATTCTTTTCTTTCTCTTTCTTTTATGAGTAAATTCAAGTCCATTACAAGAGAAAGTATGGGAGGGGGGGACTCGAACCCTAGACCTTTTCGAAACACATTACTCTTAGTAAACTTGTTTTCGGCCCTCTATTCTAGCTTAAAAATTCGAGTTTTTGAGAAATGACTGAGCAAGAAGAATGTATAGCTGCTGGATAATAGATCTGTAATACTTTTTATATGGGTAATTACGAACACCTGTCGAGTCATGGCCAAATTATTATATTAACATATCTTTTGAATTCTCAGATTTGTTCAATAAATCGTTAGAATTGGGTATGTGTGTGATTTTCTGTAAACATTAATGTGGAATCTCAAATCATTTTCTTAAAAGTCTTTCCAAGCATATAATAAATTAATACCGATAAATTAATAAGTTTTTTAAAATAATAAAAATTTCAACTCCCGAATGCTAAATTATAATTTGATAATTCAATATTTTGCTATTCCAATTGTATTAATTTGGCAAGGTTTAATTATAAATAAGTTTAGTACCTATCTGAACAAGGCACAGTTCATGAAGCCTCCTCTATAATTAGTTAGAGCTGCTGTGATGCAAAAGTTGCAGAGCAATTAACACCAAACATCACCCACGAGAATAATGGCGGGAAAACTTGGCGCCATTTTCCCGAGAATCTTCCCTCAATTTAATCCCCACTCCGCTCTGTATCCAGTATCAATTTACATTTCCACTCGAAACCCTTATCGCAAAATATCCTTCTTGACTGCGCTGAGTATGGCGGAAAACCCTAACCGAACCCCTGAAATCGAGGAGCCCACCCCGAAAATTCAAAAGACACACCAGAACGGCGTCGCCGGAAGTATAACTCACGATGCCACTCCATTTTTACGGTTGAAGAAGCTGTCGGAGAAAGCTACTCTGCCTTCTAGGGCCTCCCCTTTTTCCGCCGGCTACGATCTCTCCAGGTATAAATGCCGATTCAGATGTTATCTCCGATGTCGTCAATTTTGACATTTTGGTTTCTGATTTGATTTTTCAGTGCGGTGGAGACGAAAGTTCCGGCCAGAGGCAAAGCGTTGGTGCCGACAGATCTCAGCATCGCCGTCCCTGAAGGAACCTACGCTCGTATCGGTAACTCTCTCTCTCTCTCTCTCTCTCTCTCTCTCTCTCTCTCACTTTGGGTTTTCTTCATTTTACATTTATTTATTTATTGCTGCAGCGCCGAGATCTGGGTTGGCATGGAAGCACTCAATTGACGTCGGAGCAGGGGTGGTTGATGCTGATTACAGAGGCCCGGTTGGTGTGATTCTGTTCAACCATTCCGATGTCGATTTCGAAGTGAAGACCGGAGATCGAATCGCACAGTTGATTATCGAGAAGATTGTTACGCCGGACGTCACTGAAGTTGATGATCTTGATTCAACTGTAAGAGGCTCCGGTGGTTTCGGTTCTACCGGTGTTTGATTTTATCCTCGAAATCTTTTTCAAAAGGTTCTCAAAATATTATGCTTTTTAGTTTGGTTAAGATTATGTTGTTCAAGGGGGTTTTAGCATTTTCAAGAAGACTTTTCTTTCGGGCATTTTGTCGAACACCTTCGATATGTAGTAGCTATTCCCCTTGTATTATGTATATGCATCTTGTGAAGCAACTTCAAATATAACCCTACTTTGAGTCTATTAATCTAAATTATATTTTCTTTTTAATTTTATTTTTGAATTGAAATTCTAGTGTTTGTAACTTTAATTTTGAAATTTCAAGTTTGTTTATCATTTGTAAAAAGGATTAAATAAATTATACAAATTTAACTACAGCCTATTATACGAGAGTCTAGGTTCACTCAGTGCATATAGTTTGTTAGATTTTATTATAACTTATGTTTGATATGATACAATTTTTAATAAATTAATATTCCAAAAGTTGAATAAATAAATAAGTATGATGATTAATTGATTATATAATTTGATTGCCTCTTATTTAACATAGGTTCCAATGATAATACATGGAGATGAAGGGAGTTCAAATGTTAACCAATATGGTGGAAGGCGGATTGAAATTAAGAAAGTTGGGAAGGGTAAAAGAAGGAATTCACATAAATCTAGGCAGCAAATTGAGCTTGAAGAAATAGAATTAATGATAGCTGCTGGAAAAAAGAAGAGATATGAAGACATTGTTGCGATGAGAGAAAGGCAGAAAGAATATACTATTATGTCGATGAATACAACTTCGTTCACTCCTCGTACGAAAGCGTATTGGAAGGGGAAAAGGAGAGAAATTATTCGAAAGCAGGTTCCGAAAATATTGTTTGAAGATTTGCCGGATGTAGGCGACGCGACGCAGCAAATCTAATTAGGTGAAACTATCACTGGTTTTTGTGGTTGTTTCCGTTGTTGTATTAGTTGTGATTATTTCGTAATTTTTGTCTAAATATTTGTATTGTCATTGTGTAGGGACGGAATTGGATTTGATTTTGATTTTTTTTCCGAGTATATTTTAAGAATTTTTTTTGAATATATTATGTGTATTACTTCTACATTATATGTGACTAGACAAAGGAATTGAAATTATTAAATTTGAAAAAAAAAATTGGAAACTTTTATACCATTTTCTCTCCTAAGTCCTACCCATATATATACATGTGCGGCTGGCTTCACTTGTGAAGGGAGTTGACACGTGGCAAAAAGATAAAAAAGTTCCGATGCCGGGAATCGAACCCGGGTCCCCTGGGTGAAAGCCAGATATCCTAACCGCTGGACGACATCGGATTTGATGTTCAGTTAATTAGACAAATTTATTTATTCATCTTCATTGGAAAGCCCAACCGACAAGTTAAAAAACAAAAACGTTTTATAAAATAAGAACCGCCGTCTGTGGGAATCGAACCCACGACCACATGGTTAAAAGCCATGCGCTCTACCAGCTGAGCTAAGACGGCTTGCATATCTATAAAATTTAATCATATTATTTATAATTTATTTAACTTAATATGTTCAGTTTTCAAGTTCTAGACTAGGGAGAATTCGTTCTTCCAGGAGCACGAGTTTCGTTTCTTCGTAAAAAGGTCATTTTCTTTTCTCACACGAGAACAATTCATACTTGGATATACCGAATGATAATTTTTTTTTTTAATTCTTGCTTCATACATCTGAAAAATCACTTGTTGAAGTAGTAGAAATCCAATCCACACGAACCCCACATTAAAATTTAAAATTGTTCACATGCAAATTTCATATTCACATTCTTGATTCAATCATAGATAAATATGCATTTGCATGAAAAATCTCACCACCACATATGAAACCAAAATCCCATTTCCTTTTTGCCTTGAAATATATTTGCTTCGAATATCAACCCGAAACAGTAACAACAACACGTACGAGATCATTCACGATCTCGTTAACCAATCCATCGAACACGTGTCTCTCGACATCTCCGACAACTCCCTCCTTCTCCGAAACCACACACATCATCCTGCTCCACTCAAAATCCCACATGCAGTTCACATCACTACACTCACTACAGAAATCCTTGCACACCATGTTGTACAGGCTGGCAGCCACATCACCGCATTCGTCGCGTTCGCCGTTCCCACCGTATCGCCTCAGCATTTCCAAATCTCGACATAGCTGCCTCACCAAATCGTCTAACGACCTCACCTTGTAGTAACTAACGGCACTCTTCGTGTACGTGATTTCGTGTCTCCTTGCCTTTCGTTTCGTTATTTCGTACGCGGAGTCTAGTACGAGCTTCTTGTCCGATACAACGACTACTTCGTCGTTGTCTGTGGCGTGGAGGAAGCTGAGTGGTATGTTGAGCTTGAAAAGCGCCTCCGATGTACTGAGAAATTGCTGGCTTTTTATTACGATTTCCTTTAGTTCTTTCTCGGGTTCCGTCAGTTGCTCTTGTCTGAACAATTGCTTGTACTTGTGTTTGTCTGAACGGATGTTATCGAGTTCTGTGTTTTTGTCATGTGGTCTAGTGTTAGCGAATATGAATACGGGCTTTTAAAAAAAATCGAAAGAAACAAATTTTGTGTTATCAGATAAGTACTTACCTAAGCTTTGATCACATTGTTCGAGTTCTTGTTCATCCTTAAGAGCACAATGATGTTCCGATGTCGGAAGATCGTTCAAAACTTTTTCAAAATCGAGGGCTATAGTATCACACTGCAAAAAAAAAAAAAAAACAAATAAGTTATAAGCATTTTGGAGTCGACGAACTTTAGTTTAACTCTGTTCAAAAATTATTTCGCGAACGTACTTTTTCATTAAGAATTTGTGTGCTCTGTCCACCTTCATTTCGTAATTTATCTTGTTCGTTAACTGGTTCGATGATCTTTTCTGATTCACTGTAGATAATCATGCCTGTTTTCGTTTCGTTGCCTTTGCTGTTACTCTGTTCTTCGTTTTCTCTAGAGCTACGGTTTTTGTTTTGCATCTGTTGCTTCAAATCTCTCAAAATGGCAGCTGGCTGTTTTACAGTCCTTGTCGATTGGCTCGCAGTTGAGTTTCGTCTAGCTATCATCAGTGCATCAGTCTTTTGCGGAATCTCACTTCTTCGAACTTTCGTAAGGTTGGCCTTCTTCTGTGGGGCCGAGATCTCGATTGGCTTCTCTTGAACAAACTGTGGTGCTCTCGTATATGAAGTACTACTTTGATCTTCTTTCTTGAAATTCTCCTTCTTGGATGCTGCAGTCTTTTGAGAGACATCAGCAATCGGAACGGAATCTTGATGATGCCTTCTCTTTGGTGGATCTTTGATGGGAATCTTTTCGGTTAGTTTCGTGGATCTTCCATTATTTCCATGTACATATGCTGTACTTTTCTTCGATTTCGGAGCAATTGTGGATTCCACTTGTTGGTCTTGATCTTTTTTTGCCGGCAAATTTTGCTTCTGTAACTGCTGTCCTTTGGAATGTTCAGCTCTTTTAAGCACCGGCTCTTGAATGAGGGGCCGTTTTTGTTTGCCCGCACCCCTCGTTTCCATTGAATTTGCACTTGTTCTGCACTCGACGATCTTGTTTTGTTTCGTTTCACTATCAACGAAGTTCTGAAATCCATTTAGTTGAAGCTTCGAGTTTCCGTTCGGTGGGGTATCGTTGGTTACCGTCGCCTTCTTCTGATTGCCTTTTCTTGAAAGTTTCTCATTCGAATCACTTTTCTTGGATACGGAAACTTGATTCAACGGAAGTTCTTCGAGTCCCATAAGTTTAGCTACCACATTCGATATTCTCCCCTTCTCTTTTGCGGACGTTGACGAACCCGAGCTATTATTTAGTTTCGCTCGTGTAGTAAAAATCAAATCTTGGACACAGCTAGTAGAGCCTTTATGAGGAACCATTATCGAGTTGCTAAAGTTTTCCTCTTCTCGAAACGATAAAGCCAGCTGTCGCTTTTTCTTTGAGGGTTTATCGAACGAGAATTTTGGACGTTCCAGTTTCCATTGATCGGCTATTTTGTCGTTGTTTTCTTGATCGTCCTCATCCTCATCGAGCAACTTTAGATGGCTCTTTGTCTTGTGGGCCCCACTCGTCGACTGTGAGGATTCTTGAAAGCTAACGAGCATGCGTAAAGACTCCTCTAAGTCGATCGAGCCCTTCAACAATTCTTTACCGATTTCGATCGAGTTTCTGTTGAAGCTGAATCCGTTGTCGGAGCAGGCTTGTAGAATCTGGTTTAGCTTCTGAACGCCTTTCGATATTTCGGTGATGTGAATCTGAGAGGTGGTGGTTATTTCCATTTTCCGGCCAAATCTATTGACGAAATCGACGAGCTGGCTAGCGGTGGAAGAATTAATATTTTTTCGATTTGCCGTGTTTTCGAATGCAAATGCTATCGCCATCGATAGATCTTTAATTTGTTTGGAAGTTTGCTGATTTTTGTAGAGAACCATCTGATTTGAAGATTCCTTCATATTGATTCCATTCGACCTTGTTCTCGTTATTCCGATTTTAGAACCGGTCTGGACGAGAGAAAACTGTTAGCTGATTATTTTATATATATGTATGTATATATATATGTCAGCATTGAGGCATTCTTGTGATTTAATACTTACCGATTCTAGTGAATTTATTCGTCGAGAACCTCTGGAAGTCTGCCCGGGATTTCCTTGCATAACTGTTCAGAATTCGATAAATGGTACATTATGTAAAAAAATTACGATACTTTGCAAAAATAGTTTTTGCTAAAATGTCTAGCTACTTAATATCATACTTACTTATTAGAAACGAGTCGAATATCTAACGAGTAGTTGGCTAAAATATTAATATAAGAGTTACAGGCGCAGAAGAATAACACCGAACGAAGAGACAGCAATAATCAGTGACAGATAAGTTTCTTTAATTTACTCGTACCATTTTTCGAAAAATTACGTTTTACAACTCGTAAAGCAACGTAAACTGGATTTACGTGCTTTTTTTTATGTTTTCTTGAAATGATCCGTATTTTTTTTTTACCTTTAGATGTTTGGCTCGACTGCCGACTTGAATTTTGAGGTGCAGACATCTTTTCCTTCCGCATGCGAAGATCTTGGAGTAGCTTCTGCGCAAAATCCGATTTCGTCGCCATGACAATTTTTTTTTTCCTTCGAATTTCGTCAAAAATTTGAATTCGATATGGAATGAAGAGAAGTTATTTGGTTTGTGTTTTAGTGTTTTTAGTTCATTGAAGGGAATGAATGCAAATGTGGCTTCAAATTTTGGTGAGAAGTTTGTGTCAATGTTTGGTGAGATGGGAAAAAATAAATAAATTTACTTGAGAAAGGTTGATGAAAACCATTATAGAGAGTTGGAATAATTTGCTTTCATTCCACTCCAAGCAATGTGCAGAGGTTTTTCAGCTTTTTTGATGTTATGGGAATTTGTGGATAAAGCTTTCTTCCTCCACTATCACCATCCCAAGATATGGAGTTCCATCTTGTCATTTTCTCGAATTAGATTTGGCGTAAACAAATCGAGTCGAACTGAACGCATGATTTTTACACCTGAAAATGTTGTTTTGATGATATTTTTCGACGTAAATTGTAAATTTGACCCTTAATCGGTCCTTTCAAAGACATTTTCGATTGCAATTATAAATTAGTTGATCGTTGGGTGACTCGTCGTCAATGTAAGCGATTTAGTAGTGTATATATGCATGTATCAAATGTTTTCAAATTGTTCGATGGACAACGATTGGTTCAACTAAATTTGTCTGTGAAATAACGATTCACCGATCGAGATCAAAACTTCATCAATCATAGACGTAGATTAGAAAAAAATTAATGAATCCATCAGGTCATTGGACCGAATATAACAAAATCCAAAATCGACCCGTGTAAAACAAATCAAATTCAGTTTTGCATTGTTGACAGAAATTGACCACAATAGTATACTCTCTTCGTTTCAAAATAAGTGTGATTTTTTTTTTAAAATTGAATTGGGCAAGCATTAAAAAAACTAATAAATATGCATGGAGTTTAGAAAAATAAAATAAAATCCGAATAAATACCTTTCTCATAATTTGATTTGATTAGTGCATTATTGAATTTCTAAAATATGTATAATACGACAAAAAAAATGTCACAACAACAACAACAATTAATTTGAAAGGTTTTAGAAAAAGTAAAAAAAAGCAATTAATTTGAAGATGGAGTAGTTGTGGTGATGGGCCAGCCCAAATCATGACAATTGTATAACATGGAATTAATGCACGCAAAAATCGAGGTCAGTCAGTAATTCCAGCAAAGCTAAAGGACTGAAATGAAAATACTGAATAGATAACCGACCAAATGTTGCAAGTTAACGCACGCAATACAACTGTCCCTCCATACCCGTTCCCGTCAAAGAAGCGCATCCAGAACCTTCCGCACGCTAGGATCCAACCACAGCCGTCCGATTATTCCACCCAACCCTTTATACACAATTAATTATTATTCTATTTATTAATTAGTCAATGAAATATCGGCCCAAGCTATTATTCTCAGCCGTTGGATCATCACACCCCATCGATAAATAGCCCCTTATCACATTTTCATTTCATATCTCCCATTTCAATTCTCCGGCCGCCTCCGATCTCCGGCAGCTCATTTTCCCCTCAGATTTTCTCCTCCTAGTTTCTCGTCGTCGAAAATCGTGTAGATCGAGAGACGATCTGCGTTTTGGTTATGGCTTTCAACGTTTTCGTTTTGCTGCCGATTTTCCTCCGGTTTACCGCCGGACCGGCTGAATTTGGGTAGATCCGATGCGGTGTGAACATACCGACGAGGTAAATTTATAGATCTGCTGTTTAATTGTATTTTTTTGGTCGATTTCGTTCTCTGCATATTTTTAATTATGTTTTTTTTTTCAATTGCAGCGGTTATTAATTGTATGTCCAATGATCTGCTACCACCGAAGGATTTTTCCTACTGCAAATAATGATTTGCTGAGCAGATGAGGTGATTTCTGATTTAGATCTAGTTGTTAATTATTTTAGGTTTGTTTGTTTAAATATAATCCTTTATTTCTTTGTTAATTCATTCTAATTCCGATGCAATTTTGCAGGTTTATTAGCTGGAATATTCTGGAACAGAAAAATTCATTTGGATTACAATTCTTCCATTTGAAACTGATGCTGGAATGATCGTGTCATCGATTTGGTGGTAGCCTGCATCTGCATCTGTGTCTGCGTGGACCTCAATCGATGGATTGATTGTAAGGGAAGTTAATTGTTATTTATTTAATTTTACTGCATGTTTTATATATGTTATTGGTGAGGTAATATTTATGTAATAAGAAAAGAGAGCCGAGTGTGGTATCTGTGAAAAAAAAGAGAGGTTAGAAGTTTTTGTCTGACTGACCTTTGCCATGATGGGTGCGCTCGCATGGCAGGTCACCATTTAATAAAAAAAATATTTCTCTTTTAGGGGGAGATGGCACGAGGTTTTGCTCGGCTCTCCCCCCGTGTGTGGTGTCTTTTGCCTTTTGCGTTTCGTTTTTAGTCTTTATTCCGCACGGCCTACACAGTTTGAATCTGGCAATCAGTTCTATCAAATCTCTATGCTCTTTATTGGGTTGTGTTTTCAACAATGATAAAAGAAAAAAAAATAGCACAATCCATTAAAGAGTAAAGACAAACACAATCCAAATTATTTGCAAGGGAGAGTTGTGTGCAAGCAAGGTTTTTTGTCTCCTCAATCATCACCGCTCGAAAGGTACTAGACACTCCTTTGATCTATTTAGTTTTCTAGCAATTTAGTATTGCCTCATCAAATTAATTCTAATAATCTTAATTTTATATTAGTAATCCAAATTATTTAGGGTTTCATCATCTATTTAAATAATTGGGTGTGTCAAAGATAACAACATTTTATTGGATGTATTTGAGTATTAACAGAAGTACTAGATCATCAACTTTATCCTTTTGAACTAAGAAATTAGGACTGAATACCTTTCATTTTAGGTTAAGAATCTAGGTTAACAAGTCATACAGCTGGTTTCTACACTGATAATATACACCACGTTCTTCGTTCTGTTGCCACGTACCATCCATTTTAATCTGTTTGATCTCTAATGAAAGTGCAGATGCTAAACGACAATCATGGTCTCTAACTTCTAAAAAAAGTGTACGTTCTTGATTTTAATCGTTTGTATTTACCAACACACAACTGATAACACATGCATTAAAGTATTGATAGAGTGGCAGCCCTCTCATTTTAAGAGCCAAACTAGGTCAATTGCAATATTTTATATTTATTATCCGTTTAATTAAAGTATTTCTCGTATTGTTTTTATTTTTTGTTTGTAGTCATTTTATGTACTAAAATTCTGATGTACTTTAGTTATTTCTCCTCTATATGCGATGGGGCTGCTTCTGTTTATTGAACAGCCTTCATCTAAGGGTAGTTTGAAAGTTATAGCATGTTTGTAATAGAGCAGTTATTCAGAGTGTGAGGACTTGTTAGAGGTTGAGCTTTCCAATCGATGCTCATTTCTTCAAGACTTTGTAGCTGTTGGCATGGAATGGTAAATAGGTTTACTTGTTGCTGCCGATGCTGTTCATGATATATGCCCTATCTGGATGTTTGGATGCTGTGCTGTTGCCCGGTTTGTTGGAATCGCCGCTTCTGCTGCTTCTGTTTAGATCTGATGTGTTGGGAGTTGCTGCTGCTGTGGTTTGGCTTTTTTTGTGAGCTGTCTTGCTGCTGAGTTTATGTGAGTTGTGTCGAAGATTGGCCTGTGTGCTGGTTGTATTCGTTCAATTTGGATTGGCTTGTGCCTCGGAAGAATATCAAAGGGTTTTGTTTTTTGTCAAGTAAGCTGCAAGGAACTTCAATTCAGTATTTATGCATTTCAAGTAGTTTGGAAGAATTTATAGCATCTTATTGGTATAATTTACAAGGGAATGTTCGTTTTTCTCATTTTGTTGTTTGCTTTTGTTGGTGAGGTTGATGTTTTAATGGAAGTCACAAGATACATATGAAAATTTTCTAGTATTCAATTAATACATATTATTCTTGATTTGTATTTGAGTTAGTTTTGCTTAACAAATGATTAAATTTTTATTGTTTTGCATAGATCCTGTTCTAGCTGGCTCATTATTATTTTGATAGGAGGGCATTTTCCTACAGGGTAATATACGAGGATGTGAATTTACCATGAAGTACACAGTTGGTGACCTCTGCACTGTTCTAGAAATTGTGAGTGATCGGAGGAAACGAGCTAGTTCTAAGGATGAATCTCCAGGTTTTGTTTAATAGATATACACTCACGACGTGTGTACTTTATTGTTTAGTATAAATGCTTGATATCTTTACCTGTGATGAATTTTTATCAAGTAGCTGCAGATTTCTGATATATAGATATAACTATGTTTTTATTTTCATTGAATATGTGTATTCATGTGATTCATTTCTTTTATTGAACATTTTATAGGGGCCTGTGTTTGGCAAAAAGAATCTCATAAAATCGAGAACGGAGTTATGCTTGTTTCTATCTTGGGGAGAAATAGTAGAATACTCTGTACGAGTCGAATTTATGTGCAGAAAAAAAGATTTTAGAAGAAAATATTTGATTTTTTAAAGTGAAAACATATTTGATTTTTTTAACCGCATCAGGCATTTACTGTTTTATGGTATATTTATATTCAGTTTTATCTGGATGAACAGAAGAAAGAACATGCATATTTTATTTTGAGTTTTATCATTTTAATTAATTGAAATTTAGCATGCATATTTTATTTTGAGTTTTTTGTCATTTTTATTAATTGAAAATTATTCCCGCTATTGTATTTTATGTTTAATTTATGTGCTCAATCAACGGATGGATTCATAAGCTCAAATTCGGTAGAGCGCTCAATTGCACAAACGCATTGAGAGGTTGGTGGTTCGAATCCACCTGGATTCACTTTTTCTTATATTTTTTATCAGGGGTGAATCAACAAATTTTGTAATTATGTTCCATTGAATTTATGAAATTTTGTGACCGTGTTTGCTACATGTTGATGATAGTTTAATCTGTTTCCAATTACAATTAATTTAGATAAATGTAGAACAAAATTAATTATCTATGAATAACATGTGATACTCCTTTTTGAACTTTAGTAGGTTTAGTTACGAATAAATCATAAATCAGTTTTTTTATAATGTTTTTTATTAATAAAACGAACCGAGTCAATCGGTTCATTGACCGTTCTGGTTTTAATGAAAACTATTCGCACAAGGCTCCTATCGAGGTCGGGTCGTAATTCCAGCAAAGCTGAAGGACTGAAGTGAAAATGTTGAAAAAATAACCGACCAAAGGTTGCAAGTTGCGGCACGTTCCCGTCAAAGAAGCGCATCCAGAACCTTCCCCACGCTAGGATCTAACCACAGCCGTCCGATTATTCCACCCAACTTTCATATATAATTAAAATAATTACCAGTCAAATTTTTCCCCTTTTTCGTGCGCATCCATCCGTGAATAACCGCCCAAGGTATTGTTTACAGCCGTTGGATCATCAAACCCCCTCGATAAATATCTTCTAGTCACATTTGCAAATTTCGTATCTTTCATTTCATTTCTCCGGCGTCTCCTTTCGGCAGAGCTCATTTTCCTCTCAGATCTTCTCTTCTTAGTTTATTTGTCTTATAAAATTGTATAGATCGAGTAACGATCTACGTTTTGGTTATGGATTTTAACCTTTCCGTTTCTCTGCCTATTTTCCTCCGATTTACTGACGGAGCTGCTGAATTCGGCTAAGATCTGACTCGCTACCAACATATCGACGAGGTAAATTGATAGACTGCTGTTTATCTGTACATTTTTTTGGGTTGATTTGGTTTTCTGTTTAATGATTGACAAAGCAGATGAGGTGAATTTTAATTTAGATCTGATTTTTAATCAATCATTTACACAATTTCGTTGTATCTTAGCCTATACTTGCTAATTATGATTCGATTTTGCTGTGCTAGTAGATCGGAATCTGGATGAGGTGAATTTTAATTAAGATCCGATTTTTAATCAATTATTTACACAATTTCGTTGTATCTTAGCCTATATTTGCTAATTATGATGCTATTCTGCTGTTCTAGTAGATCGGAATTTGGATGAGGTGAATTTTCATTTTGATCTGATTTTTAGTCAATTATTTACACAATTTCGTTGTATCTTAGCCTATATTTGCTAATTATGATGCGATTTTGCTGTTCTAGTTGGTCGGAATTTGCTGGATCTGGAAAATATGTACGCGGATGTATATTTTGCTGAATGATAGTAACATCGCCTAGACGTTTTAGAGTGGTGTAATCATGCTCGCTGCATCTACAAGGTTATGGATTTCGATTGATTGGTTCAAAAGGGAAGTTATTGTTATTTATTTAATAATATTGCATATTTTATGTTCTTTATTGGCGAGGTAACAATTATGTAATAAGAAAAGAGAGCCAGAGTGTGGTATCTGTGAAAAAAATAGAGAGATGGTGAATGTGAGGTTATGTGTTGTCTGAATGACCTTTGCCATGATGGGTGCGCTCGCATGGCAGGTCACCAATTTAATAAAAAAAGATATTTTTCTTTTGGGGGAGAGGCATGGGGTTTTCGCCCAGCTCTCCCCCTGTGTGTGTCGTGTCGTTACTTTTGTTTTTGTCCGGTACTCGAACGTCCCGCTGTTCAATTCAATTCCAGCGATCCGTCCAATCAAATCTCCTGCGGTCTTCAAATGCCTTGTTTTGTCAAACAAGCAGAAATATCACAATCCATTTTCATTCAAATGCGCCCCAAGTAGTTGTGGCCTCCTGGGAAACCTACTCATCGAAAGGTACAAATTGGCACTGGTAAAATTTATTTTACTTCTCATGTTTATTTGATATTGCAGCGTTAGTCTAGTATCTCTAACCATAACATTTAACCAATCGCTCAAATTGTTTGTCTTGTCGTCTTGTTTTGAATTGGATCTTCCAAAAATGACACTATTCTTGGGGTATATTGCACGATTGGTTAATACAATCAAAGTTTTGAGGTCAGAACCCTTCATCACAGATCTGATTACAGAATTTCCTGATTATTACATAAAAGTTAAGATTTGCGTTTGCTAAACTATGGCACTCCATCTGAATACCGCCGGTATCAAATTAAAAGGGTAACTGCTGTCTCTAACAAAAGTCCGTGTTGTTAAAACTCTAGTTAATCAATGAATTTCTCTAACTGGCATCGTTCCTGCACAAGAAGTCAACGTGAATCTATCAACAAATATGAAGTTCTTAAGTATTGTTTGTTGAATTTTTTGTTAGCAATTTGATGGTATATATGTCCGAATTGATTTTGTTGTATCTTTCGTTTATTTTTCTAAATGTCGTTATTTAGAACTGTTTTAGTGGATTGTTATCTTCGATAGATATATCGATGAGGCTGCTGCTGCTAGTTGATAATCCATGTATAGGTATAGGTTGAAAGTTACATTGTTTGTAATAGAATCAGCGGCGTTCTAGTTCTCTGGTGGTTGTCTGTTGATCTTAATGGTAATGCTGCTGTGGGACTATTCGGTTTATTGATGCCGCTCGTGAAGTAACTGATGGTCCGTGTAGAAGCTGCTGCCTCTATAACATGATCTTACCCTGCTGCTGAACCTGAGGTGGCTTTATGTTTGTACATTCAACTTTTGGATGCCGGTTTGTGTATTTTTGTAGTCCAGATGTGATGCCTTGGAGTCCCTGTTCGAACCTCTACTCCGCAAGAGTCTTCCATGGCTGGTTTTTACACTCAAGTAAGCTTCAAGGAATATTTATCAGTTCAATTTTTACCGAATCTCATGTATTTTATCAACAAGTAGTTAGTTTGTTTCAAGTGGATGTGTCTTCCTTTCTTCTTTCTTCGTCTCTTGGTTGTCGATGAACTTTCAGTCCCTTGTTTCTTTTTTTTTTTTTTTTATTATGTGCATACTTGGTGTTGCGGTGAACTTTTTTGTTATGTCCTATTGTTTAAAGAATGATTAATATGAGTTTTACTAGTATGACATGAAATTTACTTTTTGAGCTTTTGCACAATCCAGAGGTGTTTTGAGATCTTGTTTTGCTTACTGCCTGCTGGAGTGACTACTTAAACAACTTGGAGGTTTAATGGCCTGATTAATGGAATATAATTATTGTCTGCTGCAACCGAAACCGAAGTGTGGTTTATCTACCAGGCAGTTTACATGGGTGAAATATTACTGAGGAAATCGGTGATTGATCGAAGAAATTGAGCTTTTCTACCTTGTGTGGGGAGTGCACCAGGTTATATGCTTTGGTATATTTACTGTATATTTTTAAAAGTTAAAATCAGTATTTCCCATGTTTTCTATTGGTAGAATTGGTTTTACTGGGATTACATCTCATACCAATCCTGGAATCTTCATAATTATTAATTTTCTTTTTATTATTGTGCTAAAAATGGAAATTATATTATGTATGTAGCTCGTTGATTTGCCGTCTCAAGAAAATTTTAGATATTAAAAGAGTAGATTACAAGAATATTAAAAGAATTGGTTTTCTATTGGTAGAATTGGTTTTACTGGTAATTAAATTATATAAAAAGAATAGATTACACAATATTGAGATAATTTGTTGTGAAATTTAAATTAATTATCTCAAGATAAGATAAATTTTTTTTCGAGCAACAAGATAAGATAGTTTAATTTGTTAAAAAAATACTGATTTGTTTATGAGGTTTGGTATTTTAATTAATTATCTCAAAATAATTGAATAAATTATAAAGTATTGTTGTATGCCACGTGTTGATGGATGAATCTATAAGCTCAAATTTGGTAGAGCGCTCAATTGCTATGATGCCTTGAGAGGTTGGTGGTTCGAATCCGCCTGGATTCCTTTTAATCTTTAATAACCTAATTTTCGAATTATTCTGCGTATAATTC